TGAATACCATGCAATTCATGCTGCAGTGGCATACTAGTTATAATATTAAACTAAAAAGTAAATAATGTATGAGGCATTAACATAAGGTAATTAAATAACTCTTAAAAGATATTTTATTTGTTATTTAATTCTTTACATGTACATTTATTGTCCTATTAATTATAATTCAAATATTTATTTAAAACAATACAAGATAATTATGCTAACTGTGTTGGTCATGTTTTGTTCTGTATGTATCTGTATCGAATAGAGATTTATAACATAAAACTAAGCAAAAATCACTAATTTTGAATACAATATTCCTGTAATATCAGTTGTCACTTAAACATTGAATTTACCAGAAAAAGATTTAATACATGTATATTATATCATACAACAAGGTTGACAAAAATATTCAAAGCATAACAACTCATATCACATAAAAATTTTGCAATTTGCATTTGACCAAAAAGAAATATCTTGCAATATAAAAATATCATCAGAAGTTAGAAGAGCACATTGTCAATACGCATAATATTAACTTTTGGTCATTACATTTCAAGAAGTAACAATGTAGATAAAAGTAACAGTAGAAACACTGTGTATTCATGTTAACTGGCATTCCTTGGATAGTTCCTAGTAACATAAAAATTACATGATAAATTAATTGTAATCATTGTAGCATATGAATTAAACGACAAGTTCATTGTATTAATTGTGACTGAAATAATTACATGGCATGTTCATTGTAATCATTGTGGCTGAAAGAATTACAAGACAAGTTCATTGTAGTCATTGTGACTGTAAGAGTCACAAGACACGTTCATTGTAATCATTGTGGCTGAAAGAATTACAAGACAAGTTCATTGTAACTAAGAATAACATGACAAGTTCATTGTAACTAAGAATTACATGACAAGTTCATTGTAATCATTGTGACTGTAAGAATCACAAGACACGTTCATTGTAATCATTGTGTCTGAAAGAATTAAAAGACACGTTCATTGTAACAAAGAATTACATGACAAGTTCATTGTAACTAAGAATTACATGACAAGTTCATTGTAACTAAGAATTACATGAAAAGTTCATTGGAACCCTAAGAATTACATGACAAGTTCATTGTAACCCTAAGAATTACATGACAAGTTCATTGTAACCCTAAGAATTACATGACAAGTTCATTGTAACTAAGAATTACATGAAAAGTTCATTGGAACCCTAAGAATTACATGACAAGTTAATTGGAACCCTCAGAATTACATGACAAGTTCATTGTAACCCTAAGAATTACATGACAAGTTCATTGTAATCCTAAGAATTACATGACAAGTTCATTGTGACTAAGAATTTCATGACAAGTTCATTGTAACTAAGAATTACATGACAAGTTCATTGTAACTAAGAATTACATGAAAAGTTCATTGGAACCCTAAGAATTACATGACAAGTTCATTGTAACCCTAAGAATTACATGACAAGTTCATTGTAACCCTAAGAATTACATGACAAGTTCATTGTGACTAAGAATTTCATGACAGTTCATTGTAACCTTAAGAATTACATGACAAGAACATAGTCATTCCTACTGTATATTGCTGTTGTGTACCATGTACTACTTCAGTATCCTTGCTATGTATTTTTTGCTGTTGGAAAAAATGAAACATTATATAAAGTGGAGCATTTGGTCAGTCAACATTGCAGCATACATCTTATTAACTTCTGCATTTTATAGTAACTAAAAATATGAATATTTGTTTGTTTGTTGACTTTCAATATTAGTACTAGACTCAAATAAATGGAGAATGTGTCCCCATGGATACAGATGATGCCCTCGCTTGCATACAACATTATAAAGGGACATAACTCAAGAACAATAAAAGTGACGCTACCCAAATTTGTACTTGATCTTAGTTTTGTGGTAATAAGTATTGTGTATAGGTTTCATGTTTGGTTGGGGCAAACTTAAGTTACAGAACGGAAACTAAAAATTTTGCAATTTTTCGATTTATAAAGGGGCATAACTCAATAATGGTTAAAGTGACACTACCCAAATTCAACTTGATCTGTGTTTTATCAGTGGAAGGCAAAATTAAACATTGCATTGTATAAAGCATTGATTGTAGTTGGTTCAACTATAATCATGGACAAAGGAAGATAACTTCAATTCTAAATACAAATACAAATATCAGACTGGAACAAAATTCAAACTTAATCTGTAACTTGTCATGATAAAACTATATACCAATTATCAAATCAATATCTCCAAGCATGAATTAAATCAAAGTACTGAAGTACTGAACAACGGATGACTGCAAGTTCTTGTGGATGGTCACAAGCACTTGTCTCAGAAAAACAAATCACATCTGTATACCTGAAAGTGAGGTTAATGTACAGAGATATATTTTTTTCTGAGACAAGTTCGTGCGTGGATAATGAATAAATGACAGGGAATTCAACGTCACCATAATAACTATTATATTGTAGTGATATAAATCAGTATACTCTGGTTTGTTGTTATATATTATATAAATGTTTGTATACAACAGTTACATATATAAAATATAATTTTCATCCATTTGTATATCATTCTATTTTACTATTCTAATAAAAGTGCAGTGCAAGTGCATGGTGGACACTCTTCTGTAATAATATGATTTTTCTAATAGATTGGATTTGAGCAGGCATTCATATTTTCCCGTAAAACATTCTTGAGATATTCTTCCGCATGCGTTAACGCAATTTTTCTGTACGTGTGCATAGATATTATCAATGATTTTTTACTTATATATATATTTCTAACGACAAAACATTTTCATATTATTAATTTATGTTATAAACAAAAATATTTTATGAGTATTCATTTAAGAAATGAATTTATAACAAGCGATAAGGAATGTTATTTTGCACTCGATAATGTCTGCATATTTATAGATTGGTTACCAGTCAAACACGAAAGTTACGTTAGTAGAAATCTCGTCGGCAACAATACATCGGAATGACCTCACGGTCATCGCCATGTAAAAAGTGAAGAAAACTGATTATTTGAGTGAATTTTCTAAGTCCAAGGACCATAACTCCACATAATATCATCAGACCGCAACAAAATTCAAACTCGATCTATAACTTGTCATGATAAAACAATACACCAAATATCAAATCAATATCTTCAACACAAACGAAAAAAGTCGGGGAAAACTGATTTGCCAGACTGACGGATGGACAGTTAGACAGACGGACAGAGTACATACATAAAGTCCCCTTTGACTTCGTTGGTAGGGGACTAAAAACTATGGCATTGGAGCTTTGCAGTACTATTTTTTCTTTTTTTACATACATAAATTCGGATATGGTGAACATTTTAATCTGGGATTTCAACTATTGTAAATTTAAAATATTTATAATGTTTGCAATGGACATCCACCATATTGATGTGAAGTCACATTTTAATTTTGTTTATTATGATTATGTTTAGCAGGATTTTTCATCAATCTTTCATTTAAGTCAATATCCAAGAATTGAAATAAAAAAATATGCACAATAACTTGAATTCATAGTGTCATATCTATTGTATTGCATTATGTTTTATATAAAATTTATCTGAAGAGACAGCCATGTCAGAAGCAGTAAAAGCTGTTATACATCTTAAACAAAATAAAATGTTCTGCTGGGGTGCAGCTTGATACGACCGCAGAGGTCGAACCCTGAACAGTTGGGGCAAGTATGGACACAACATTCAAGCTTGATACAGCTCTGAATTTGGATTGTGATTAAATATTTGACACAGCATAGGTTTCTGACACAGAATGAATGTGGTCTAAGAACTTAAAAAATTTTAATTTACCTATTCAAACCATATCATTATTATTTGCTTTTATATATAAATCAGAAATAACCAATTTAAAATGGAAAATTTTAAAGAAAAAAAAAAGAAAGAAAAAAAAAAAAATCCCTCCCCCAAATTTTTTGAACCCCCTTATGATTCATCACCCCCAAACTCAATTCCAGCCTTCCCTTTGTGTTATGGTACCTTGCAGTACAATTTCAGAGAGATCCATACACTGGAACACAAGTTATTGTCTGGAAACTAAAAAAATGCTTGTTTTTAGGCCCCTTTTTGGCCCCAAATTCCTAAACGTTTAGGGCAATTACCCCCAAACTCAAACCCAGCTTTCCCTTTGTGATATGGAACCTTGTAGTACAATTTCATAAAGATCCATACACTTACACACAAGTTATTGTCCTGAAACTAGAAAAATGCTTGTTTTTTGCCCCTTTTTGGCCCCTAATTCCTAAAATTTTGAGGCAATTATCCCCAAAACCAATCCCAGCCTTCCTTTAGTGGTATGGTACCTTGCAGTACAATTTCAGAGAGATCCATACACTTGAACACAAGTTATTGTCTGGAAACTAGAAAAATGCTTATTTTTGCCCCCTTTTCCTAAACGTTTTGGGCAATTACCCCCAAACTCAATTCCAGCTTTCCCCTTGTGATATGGAACCTTGTAGTACAATTTCAGAAAGATCCATACACTTACACACAAGTTATTGTCCTGAAACAAGAAAAATGCTTGTTTTTTGCCCCTTTTTTGGCCCCTAAATCCTAAAATTTTGAGGCAATTACCCCCAAAATCAATCCCAGCAATCCCTTTGTGATATGGAACCTTGTGGTACAATGTCAGAGAGATCCATACACTAACACACAAGTTATGTCTGGAAGTTACAAAAATGCTTATTTTGGCCCCTAATTCCTTAACTGTTGGTACCATAACCCCCAAAATCAATCCCAACCTTCCTTTTGTGGTATTAAACCTTATGGTAAAATTTCATAGAGATCCATTCACTTAAACTAAAGTTAGAGTGCGAAAACCAATGTGTCTTCTGACGACGACGACGATGACGCCAACGTCATACCAATATACGACCCCAAAATTTTTTTGCGGTCGTATAAAAAGACATAATAGGCAATTCAAGTATGAATAAATAGAGTACAGATATTCAAAAGACAACATAACACAAAACAGAAACAGCATTTTTATTATAAATTCCTCATTATATTCTAGGCAATATAGTTATTTCAATCATTCTATTAAACTATAGTTAATTCAATCATTCTATTAATCATTCTTAATTTAAACAATCATGAATTAATTTTACCAAAACAATTGAATTTACCTGTACAAAAGCTGTCAAATACATTTTATTTAAAACTCAGCCTATTACAATTTATTTTTAAGATTCCTGCACAACTGTTTAAATAAAACATTGATGTGCTTGTCATTAAACCAAAAAAATATAATACAATTTTTTTGTAGAAGTAGCCAGACTAAATTCACTTTTAAACTTCTTTCAGGTAATGATGTAATTTATGAAAATTTGTTTTCTTAGACCAGTAAAATCATATTTTGACTCTCAGTTATGGTAATGAAAATAAGCAAAACAATTCCTGAGAAAATATATACATATGCATGATGACAATATAATGACAAACATTTTTTTTTTAATTGCACAACAGACATACCATATATGATCAAAGAAAATTCTTGAACTTGAAATTTAGAAAATGAAATTACAGGATCATACAGCAACAAACAATTCAATGTAGTAAAATAATTGTTCCCGAATAGAAATACTTTATAGCACAGTTGTGATTGTTTATGCAAGCTTGTATAACGGAAACATGTTTGATTTCAGTGAAATAACTACATAGGTCAACGAAGAGCAATAATTCCACATTCCATTAACTTTTCTATTTTAGCTGCAACTTCTGGGTTTTGTAGATGTCTGAAAGATATAATATTGCATTAAAAATTACTTTTGAAAATCTAATCATCTATATTTGCAAAACATGATATTTCCTCAACCATAATGTTCAATGCTACAGGAAAGATATCTCTCTAGAGGTACATGACTGGTATTCAACCAGGCAAAAATTTGATGTAAACTTTTTCAAATAATTGGTCTTGAAATTTTAAAAGTGGTGTTACAAGATTACTTTGCATTCAATTTTTTCAAAGGGTTGCTTTATACTACTGTAAATTCAGAAATTATTGCGTGCATTTATTATTGCGATTTTATCATTTAAGATTAAAATGCGATTTTAATTTTTGCAATTTTGAGAAAAATCCAGTTTAATTCATATACAAAATTTCAAAATGCGAATTTAAATTATTGCGTTTATAACCCTGTCGCATTTTTCGCAATAATAAAAACATCGCAATAATTTCTGAATTTACAGTATTTGGAAATGCTATTTAAAAGCAATATTTTTATAGGTTATTGGAGATCTGAACTGTATTAAATACCCGACACAAAATAATTTGACTATTCCAACATTTAGGCTGTTAAAATGGCTTTCGACCAAATTCTTTTGTTAAAACCTACAAAGATATTTCGAAAAGAACATTTCTTATTAGCTGCATCAAGTCTATTCAAACTTACTCTCTAACAGCCTTTGGATCTTTTTCCATTTGCTGGAGAATTAACTGCATGGCTGGGTCTTTGAGGATTTGTGTTACTTCTGGGTCTGCCATGGCTCTCTTACGTACAGCCTCAGGGTCATTTCCTTCTGCCATCCTGGAATCTCTGTATCCTTGATTTGCTTCCTAACAGTTAAAATTTAGTCATAAAAATATAATTTTAAGCACTGGAGACAAACAACTAAAGGAAAAGTGTAATTTCACAGCAAAGTCAGGGACTGAATTTTAAAAGCATCCATCCAAGTTGCCTCAATTGCTCATCTGGTAAAAATATACCATATCATTATTAACATAAAATCAAAATATAAACATAATTTAAAAAATTTTCTATTAATTTATATAGATCTTGTATTGCTGCCCGTACATGAATTACTTTATAAAGTTTCTTACTCTTATAGTTTTTGAAAAAAATCAGTCATTTAAGGGCATTAACTCCTTTCATTTAGACATTTAAGGGCAATAAATCCTTTCATTTAGACATTTAAGGGCAATACCTCCATTCATTTAGACATTTTTTTTTCAGATCCTGTATTGCTGATCATGCTTGCTGTATACAGTTTCTGTCTATCTAAAATAATTCACAAGATAGCAGGCCCTAAAAAAATTGTACCAACAAGAATTTGATTTCAATAAATAAAAATTTGTCCCATATGTTGGACTTATAAACATATAGTGAAAAAAAGAAAACCCAAAACACATCCTTATTGGATTCAACGTGATTGCAATAATCTATTAGATGCGACCTTGCCCTTTGAATTGTTACCATGTGTCAATGACACGACATCTAGGTAATAATTCAATACATTATTCAGCCATTACGCTTGGATTATGGAAAAAAAATTGTGCAACATGTGACTTTCAAAAAAGCAAACAGTACATAGATATATTTGTTTTATACCCAAGGTGTGACCTTGAAGAAGTTACACTACTTTTCAATCTGACATTTTGCAAATATGACCACTGGATGTCATTTTGACTAGCAAAAATTATTTACCTCACAGTTTGGATCAAGGTCTAATGCTTTCAGGTATGCCTGAGCAGCTTTTGATGGTTCTTTCATAGCGTAAAATATACTTCCTTTCCTCAAATAACCTTTAACTGAAATAAACAATGGACTGATTAGATAATTGTGTATATATTTATAAGTTTTTATTCAAGCTTATTTCCAACTTCTAAAATTCAAAGCAGAAGTGAAAAACAATATCTGACTTTTGTATTAACTAGAATTTGGCCATTGTTGTCTGTGCATTTTTTTTTTCATTGCCATTTGCTTTTAAGGACACCTGTTTTATTTCACCAATTATATTTTATTTGTTATTTACTTATGCCTAGCCAAAAATTTTCCTGAAAAATTAAAAGCCAGTTAAAGAGATTTCATCTTAAACGAACATTTTGAAGAATTACATAATCAGCAACTGTGACTTTAACCTTTAACCTTCTAACCATACAATCACTTGGCTTTCTCCCTTTCTTTCTATCAATCATTGTATTAGTTTTGTTATAATCCAAAAATGAACCTCAAGTAATCACTAAGTAACAACAAATTGGACCTAATATAAGAATACTTTCAGTCTATTTCTAGCAGCTGTGACCTTTCCCTTTGACCTAAAAATCAACAGGGTTCTTCCTCCTACTTACACCTTCCATCTATAAGTTTCATTTCAAACTAACTAGGGAAACTCAAGTTATAATCAGGCAACAAATATCCCCCCTAGTACTTTTGAACTGTGACCTATGGACCCCAAAATAAAAAAAGCTTTTTTTTTCACCCTTTCTTGTATCCTCCATAGGTTTAAGTTTCTTTTTAGTTAAGCAAGGGAAACTCAAGATTTCACCAAGAAATTATTTGTTTAATAATTTATGTTTTTTTAATAAAGCAACAACTTTGACCTACTGACCCTTAAATCAATATGTTTCTTCCCCTTCCTATATATCTTCCATCTGTACACGTTTCATTCCAATTGTGCAAGAGAAAATCAAGATTTCATCCAGAAAGCATTTGTTTTGAACACGGAGGGACAGGTGTAGGGACAAAGTGATGACTTTGTAATTTCATTTGTTTTTGTGGGATCAAATTTTTGAGAATTGATAAAAAATTTTATTTTTCTTGAAACATGATTTTTAAGTACTTATAAACTCTGCATACAAGTAAATCGAAAATTGTATTTTGTGAAAGTTGAGGTTAACCTCTAACCAAGAAATCCATTAAAATGAGTAAAAAACGAAAAGTATTCTAGTTTTGAGTTGTCTCAGTCATAATTTATCATACTTTAAGTCTTATGTTGTCTGTTTTGAGTTGTCTGCCTTGTGTTGTCCAAGTCTTGAAAAGGCTTCTCTTAGCTTGTCTCTGTATTATTTTATTTCTGATATTTAATTGCTCTTTCAGCAGATTCACTTATCTAAGAATTGTAAATTACACCTCAATTCTTCACAAATGCAAACAAAATCTACTTATGAAGCCTTCTCTGTTAAAAAAAACCCAGCACACAATAGAACTACAGATGTACAAGGTTCCATGTTTTCCTTGAATGAACATCCATTATTATTACATGACATTATCAATACTTACTAAATTTGGGATCTAATTCTATACATTTATCTGCATCTTTCAGAGCAAGATTAAATTCCAGTAATTTTGTATAGCATGCTGCTCTGTTGCTGTAGAGTTTAGCATCATCTGGGTTTCGCTTTATTGCTTCATCATAATGCTTCTTAGCTGTTGGATAGTCACCTGAAATTTTATGTATGTGATGCAGAAAAGTACTTGATCCCAATAAGGAGGACTTAAATATGCTACCCACTATATTCAATATTACATAGTACATTGTACTAAAGTATTGTAAGGATATAGATACATAAACAGACGAAATTTCAAATTTTTATGTTTGCAAGATGTGCTGAATCAATAATTAGTAGTGTGTATTGGGTCAATGATTGAGCCCAAAGTTACCATTATCAATTGTCAAATTTCATTAATATTTATTTCATCTACAACTTACCTTTTTTGAAATGGTCATTTCCTAAAGTTTTGGCCTCTAATGATTTTTCAGGATCTATATATTTCAGTCTTTCATTTTCTTTTATCTTTTTATCCAGCTGTCAAACAAAGCGACAAATTTTCAGTAAAGTTCATTCATATAAATGGAAAGATATGAATGTAGAATTTTAATAAGATGTGACCTCTCCACAAATCTTTTAACACAAAATCCAGTTTCAATCAAAGATGCAGCTAAATCAAACATATTTGTAATCAGTTACATTCTTTTTCTTCTATATAAATAAAACTAGATATGGGCTTTACTCAGAAACATCAATAAAAAAACAGCTTAAGGGCATAACTTTTTAACGGTAAATTTCAAAATTGTAAATATCAAATTTGACCCCTATCTCATGATGCATGATATTGTGTTAAAAGTTCAAAAGATTTGGTCAGGGGATCCTTTAATTTTTCATTTCAGAAATAAATAAATGTGGATAGTGTCCACATGTGGAAACAGATGATGCCCCCGCTTGCATATCATATAGTTATAAAGGGACATAACTGAAGAACGGTAAAAGTGACGCTACCCAAATTTGAACTTGATCTTGAACTTGATTTGAGTTTTGTGGTAATAAGCATTGTGTATAAGTCTCATAACATTTGGTTGAGGCTAACTTTAGAGAACAGAAACTAAAAATTCAGCAATTTTTCTATTTGTAAACACGCATAACTCTAGAACGGTTGTGTATAAGTTTTATAACATTTGGTTGAGACAAACTGAAGTCAGAGAACAGAAACAAAGAATTCAGCAATTTTTAAGTTTATAAAGGGACATAACTCAAGAACGGTAAAAGTGTTGCCACCAAATTACTTACTTAATCTGTATTATGTAGTAATAAGCATTGTGTATAAGTTTCATAACATTTGGTTGAGGCAAACTCAAGTTAGAAAACAGAAACAAAAAATTTGTACATGATCTTAGTTTTGTGGTAATGAATATTGTGTATAGGTTTCATAATGTTTGGTTGGGGCAAACTTAAGTTACAGAATGGAAACTAAAATTTTGCAATCTTTCGATTTATAAAGGGGCATAACTCAATAATGGTTAAAGTGACACTACCCAAATTCAACTTGATCTGTGTTTTATCAGTGGAAGTTAAAATTAAACATTGCATAGTATAAATCATTGATTGTAGTTGATTCAACTATAATCATGGACAAAGGAAGATAACTCCAATTTTAATAAAATGCTCCGCTGGGGCGCAGCTTGATACTACCGCAGAGGTTGAACCCTGAACAGTTGGGGCAAGTATGGACACAACATTGATACAGCTCTGAATTTGGATTGTAATTAAATATTTGACACAGCATAGGTTTCTGACACTTAATGAATGTGGTCTAAGAACTTTAAAAATTTTAATTTACCCATTCAAACCATATCATTATTATTTGCTTTTATATATAAATCAGAAATAACCAATTTAAAATGGAAAATTTTAAAGAAAAAAAAGGAAAAAAAAATCCCCCACCCCAATTTTTTGAACCCCCTTATGATTCATCACCCCCAAACTCAATCCCAGCCTTCCCTTTGTGGTATGGTACCTTGCAGTACAATTTCAGAGAGATCCATACACTTGAAAACAAGTTATTGTCTGGAAAAAAATGCTTGTTTTTTGGCCCCTTTTTGGCCCCAAATTCCTAAATGTTTCGGGCAATTACCCCCAAACTCAAACCCAGCTTTCCCTTTGTGATATGGAACCTTGTAGTACACTTACACATAAGTTATTGTCCTGAAACTAGAAAATTCTTGTTTTAGCCCCTTTTTGGCCCCTTATTCCTAAAATTTTGAGGCAAATACCCCCAAAATCAATCCCAGCCTTCCCTTTGTGGTATGGTACCTTGCAGTACAATTTCAGAGAGATCCATACACTTGAACACAAGTTATTGTCTGGAAACTAGAAAAAATGCTTATTTTTGGCCCCTTATTCCTTAACATTTTGGGCAATTACCCCCAAACTCAGTTCCAGCTTTCCCTTGTGATATGGAACCTTGTAGTACAATTTCAGAAAGATCCATACACTTACACACAAGTTATTGTCATGAAACTAGAAAAATGCTTGTTTTTTGCCCCTTTTTTGGCCCCTAATTCCTAAAATTTTGAGGCAATTACCCCCAAAATCAATCCCAGCATTCCCTTTGTGATATGGAACCTTGTGGTACAATGTCAGAGAGATCCATACACTAACACACAAGTTATGTCTGGAAGTTACTAAAATGCTTATTTATGGCCCCTTTTTGGCCCCTAATTCCTTAACTGTTGGTACCATAACCCCCAAAATCAATCCCAACCTTCCTTTTGTGGTATTGAACCTTATGGTAAAATTTCATAGAGATCCATTCACTTAAACTAAAGTAAGAGTGCGAAAACCAATGTGTCTTCGGACGACAACGACGCCTTTGTCATACCAATATACGACCTCAAAAATTTTTTTGCAGACGTATAAAAATTAGAATTGTACTTCACAACAGTGAATGAAATAAGTAAAAGGACACCATTGGGAAAGTAGTAATATTGTAGGTTGGCGCCTATTAAAACGTTGAAACCTGATGCATTTGTTTGCACCTGTCCTAAGTCAGGAACCTGATGTTCAGTGGTTATCGTTTGCTGATGTTGTTCATAAGTGTTTCTCGTTTTTATAGATTAGACCGTTGGTTTTCCTGTTTGAATGGTTTTACACTAGTCATTTTTGGGGCCCTTTATAGCTTGCTGTTCGGTGTGAGCCAAGGCTCTGTGTTGAAGGCCATACTTTGACCTATAATGGTTTACTTTTACAAATTGTGACTTGGATGGAGAGTTGTCTCATTGGCACTCATACCACATCTTCTTATATCTATTGTGTTTTATGGTAATTACAATTGTGTATAAGTTTTATAACATTTGGTTGAGGCAAACTAAAGTTAAGAGAATGGAAACCAATTTTGGGACAAACGTATGGACGGACAAGGGTAACACTTAATGCCCCCTTCGCCTAGCAGCAGGGGCATAAATGTATTTTTTTCTTAATGTACCCACGACAATTAATGAATCCACAGTACTCCCTACTTTTAATCTGGGATATAATTATGTCTCATATAGTAAGTAGATATTTCCTTTTATTTAAGTCTGATAGTTAAACTAACCACTTGAACTATTTTTTGTATTTCTGGGTTTCGATGTTCTGATAATGATTTGTTCAGATATCTCAATGCGCTCTCATTGTCTTCTTTTTTCATACAAGCCTTCCCTGCTCTTGCAAGTGCCCTAAAACAGAACAATACTGAAGGTTTGCATTTATGCTAAATAAAAATAATCAATTGGTTAGAATGCATAGCACATAATCCTGCTATGGTCCTTAGTACGTATCAAAAACCTGTGTCAACTATAATACAATAGTTAAAGTTATTGCAAACCTTAAAACTTCTTGTTCATTTAAAAATGACAAAAAAAATTCATGTTCATTGGGCATATTTGGTATATTAAAAAATTAAAACTTTCATCACAAGAGCAATTACTGCCTGGCAGATATGAAAATCACTTTAACAATACAACTCAACATCATAAAGTTCCACACCAAATATCAGATTTTGGCTAAATACAGTAGCTGAGAAATATGTGACAAAAAAATATTGTCAAACAGGAAGTGACTGCCTGTCAGATCTGAAAGTAGGTTACATCGTACAACTCAACATTCTAAAGTTTCTTAAGAAAAATGAAATCATTTCATAATGTGAGAATCTGAGAAAATTGTGACGAAAACATCCATGCTCAGTGGGTTTTATAAAAAATTAGTATCAGCCAACAGAAAGTGGGTGTCTGAAGATCTGAAAAGTGATAACATTTTACAACTTATCACTGTCAAGCTCCTGACCAAATATGAAGTCATTCTGTTCAGTTGTACCTAAAAGAAGTATGCCGGAATTAAATGAATGAACAAACAGAGGGACAGACAAGGTAATTGCAATATAACCCTTACTCCTAGAGAAGGGATATAACACATATCAGAGTTAGCTATTTTTTAGGATGACTTGGATCTCACTTAGATGAAAAACTTGGTAGTCAATATTAAACCTAATGAAAGTCAATGAAGCATGAAATGTAGGTCACTTGGTATCTTAGATATAGTCTAAAGTGAAACTTATTCAGTCAATTAAGTGTAAAATGAATGTCAGAGTGACCACCAACCATGTTGACTTTCTATTTTCAAGGGCACAGCCCTTGAACAAAGCAGACATTACATAGCAAATCAGATTTGACCTGTATTTAATGCTTGTGTAGAGATTCCAATAGGAAACAAATTTTACATTATTGTATTATTAGTGACGTTTCTGCCACTGACCTTGTACAATTACTGAAAAATGGTTTAATTACCGTATTTAATGGTCAAAAGTTCTTATGGCATTCATTTTTCATGGATGGATAACCAAGCAGCAACTGTATGCACCAAGAAAACTATTCAGAAAGCATAATTACAATATTATCCAAATTCTGCCATACTGTACTAAATATACTACTTACTTGGCAATTAATGTATAATCTGCTCTGTTTTCTCTTCCTATATTAATAGCTTCCTCTGATATTTCAATACATTTATCATAATCCTTTAATTCAAAATATACAGCTGCAATAAAAAGCACATCATTTATATAGTGGCCAACAATCACCAAATACAGAGATTTTTATACATCTAAACAAGCAGCTGACTTGGGATCTATACATTGTTAACATTATATTCACTAAATCAGTGTACCAGTAGGAAAAGTTGAATACACAGACTTGGTTTTGTCTTATGCAAATTTTACTGAAATATACAAAGGTTCAAAGCTGGTAAAATGGGGGAAAAAATCTTCCAATCCAGCCAAATAGGAATTGTTGGGTATTTTTATTGAGATTTCTTTTTTTTGAGGTCTTATGTAGGTCAATAAAAGTGACCCTTATATATGATTTGTAACTACAAATAACACCTTCAAATCCTTGACCAAGGGTTATATATCTTGTCATTAGAAGTTCCCACACGGCATTTTAATCTTGTGAGAGAATTCCTCTACACAAATACCTTATACATGTGCAGTTTGTTGTTTCCATTTTTGCACTTAAATTGTGAGTCTGTATTAAAGCTAGGTGGCTGTTTAATTTACCGGTATATTAATACATACATTCGAACCTCCTTACAGGATTACAATAATCCTGTTTTTTTTCAGGGGTGTCCTTCAGTCCTCCAGTTGAAGAGAAAATAAATGGGGAATGTGTCCATGGGATACAGATGATGCCCCTGAGTTTGGTGGTAATAAGCATTGTTTATAAGTTTCACAACATTTAGTTGAGGCAAACTAAAGTTGGAGAACGGTAAACGAAAAAATTCAGCAATTTTTCCATTTGTAAAGGGGCATAACTCTAGAACGGTAAAAGTGACGCCACCAAAATTCGAACTTGATCTGTGTTTTGTGCTAATTAGCATTGTGCATAAGTTTCATAACATTTGGTTGAGGAAAACTAAAGTAAGAGAACGGAAACCAATTTTGGGACGTACGTATGAACATACGTACGAAGGTACGTACATACGGACAAGGGTAAAACTTAATGCCCCCTCTGTTACGGCGGGGGCATAAAAATCCTGTGTTTTCAAAATTTCATGAATGAATATTTTCAGACACCATTTTTTATTATGCTGTTTACAAATATCCATTATTGAAAATGTTAAAACCTGAGTGTATCAAAGGTTAACTGACATTACCTGATTACACACCATATGTAGATTTTGACCTGGCCTGTAGCTAATTAACAAGTGATAATAGTTTGATTGAACACTCAACAGGTGATAGGATATTAATAGTTCAATATGGCCTCTGTTTGTGGCAAACACCAAGGATGGTTAAAGGTAAATACCGGCATTGATAGAAAAGTAGAATGCTTTTGTCAAGACATCGATGTGAAGGTTTTGATGCCGGTAAAACATTTAAGAAACTTTCAACTCAGCAAAGAAATACTCCTCTATTTCACACTCCAATGCGGACATTAAAGGACCTTCAGCATGCTCAAGAAGAAACCGGACTGACAGCAGAAAAAACATCGACTCAAAGACAATTCACAGCCTCCTCATTGTTAAGATTAACAACTAAACAAACTGCTACCAGGATCAGGATTACTATAGTACAGAGTCAAATGTATTAACCTTAAGCCAGCCAAGTCAGCTTGTATTGCATGACCCTCCAAGACCAGTGCTTAAGTTATTAAATAACATTTGTCAATGTTATATAAACAGTGCTTTAGCTAGTCTTTGAAACAATGACAATCTTAAGCAAAATGACTTTACTAATGCTTAAAGACCAGGCATAAGTATTTTTATTGTTTGATAATTTTTCATCAATTCATCATGTTTTAAATGTATAGCTATTTCTTTCTTATATATCTATGCCAATGACATTGAATACAAATAAAAATGATGGAGGCATGAATAAAATACGATACTTTTATTTTCTCTTTATACTCAAAGGAAACGTTAAATCATAGTATTTTAGTTACGAGCAGTCAACAATCAACAATAAAAAAACAAACCCAGAAACAGAATCTTCTCAATGTTTCTTTCAACTGATAGCATTCAAATAGACAGGCTACAAGGGTAAATACTGTAAACACATTGATATATATTACATTCAGATGGAAGATTGAAGAAAAACAAACTAAAAGACAATTTTTACATTAGACGGTTACATTTTACAACAAAATTTATATCAATAAAAAACCTGTTGATCTGAAGTCTAAACTCCTGACCAAAATTTCCCTACCTCCTGATCTGAGTTTCACTGTCCGTCACATGTATGTAATTATGAATGAATAAAATGCTTCGCCGAGTGCAGCTGGATACGACCGCAGAGGTCCAACCCTGAACAGTTGGGGCAAAAAATGGACACAATATTCGTGCTTGATACAGGTCTGAATTTGGATTGAAATTAAATGTTTGACACATAATAGGTTTCTGACACAGAATAACTGTAGTCAAAGAACTTAGAATTGGTTATATGATTTGAATTTATATTCAGTTTTTTCCTTTTGAGCAATACACTATTCCCTTGCGAATTGCCCCCCCCCCCTCCCCCCCCCCCCCCCCCAAAAAAAAATTTACACCCTTTTTTTTTGTTGCTTTTCTGCAATACACTATGCTGTTACAAATTGACCCCCCCCCTTCCAAAAATAAAACCAAAATTTCACCCCCCTTTTTTTTTGGCAAAATTTTTTTTTTCTCACCCCACCCCCTTTTTTTTACATTAAATAATATTTGAAGAAATTTTCTTTTTAATTTCTGAAATCTGTAATGAGAAAAAAAATTGTTCCCCCCCACAATTTCTTTTAAACCCCCCTCCCCTCCCCTTTTTCCAAAAAAAAAAAACCTTCCCTCAAGATATGGTCATTATCTCAATTCAAATTTCCAATGGAGTTTGCAACCCTAATTACCCATTTAAATACATCATAAAAGTCTTAAAATAGAAAATGACATACATAATCATGTCTAAAAATAATATATCTTTAATCAGCATTTTTATTAGTAACTTCTAAAAATAAATTAACAGCTAATCACCTCAAGACAACACAAAATTTCTTTATACATAATTTTAAAGCAGTGTAAGGGAGGTAATCCAAATTTAACATTGAGCTTAAAAGTGATTGTCCATTAACAAGGAAACCCTTGTTTTTCCCCCTTTTTTGCCCCTAATTCCTAAACGGTTTGAGCCATTACCCCCCAAAGCCAATTCTAACTATCCCTTTGTGGTATGGAAACTTGTTGTACAATTTCAGAGAGATCCATTCACCGTACCACAAGTTATTGTCTGAAAACTTGAAAAATGCTTATTTGGGCCCCTAATACCTAAACTGTTAGGACCATAACCCCCAACCTTCCTTTTGTGGTTATAAACCTTGTGTTTAAATTTCATAGATTTCTATTAACTAATACTAAAGTTATTGTCCGGAAACCAAGTGTCTTCGGACGATGACGACGTGATACCAATATACAACCGCAAAAAGGTCATATAAAAATTATGGAGACAGTGTTGACAGATATGTTGGTGTTTTATATATCGGTTTTAAGTTTTGAACTATCAGTGGAAATTTGAAGTTTGGATATATACTATTTCATATAAAATATTTGTTTTAAAAGATAATAAAAGTCTTGTTTCTGATAGTACTTTCATCTAAAACAGAAAATTGTTTGCACTTTCATTCTATCCTTTCCCATGAGAAATTGATTTAGATCATAACCTGATACAGATTATAATGTTTGCAGGGGATACATTTTTCATTGTTGTAATAAGACATACCTGATTTGTTATTTCTATAAGTAATATCTGTAGGATCTAGTTCTATTGCTTTATCATAAGACATACCTGATTTGTTATTTTTATAAGTAATATCTGTAGGATCTAATTTTATTGCTTTATCATAAGACATACCTGATTTGTTATTTCTATAAGTAACATCTGTAGGATCTAGTTCTATTGCTTTATCATTAGACATACCTGATTTGTTATTTCTACAAGTAATATCTGTGGATCTAATTCTATTGCTTTAACATTAGACATACCTGATTTGTTATTTCTACAAGTAATATCTGTAGGATCTAATTCTATTGCTTTATCATAAGACATACCTGATTTGTTATTTCTATAAGTAATATCTGTAGGATCTAATTCTATTGCTTTAACATAAGACATTCCTAATTTGTTATTTCTATAAGTAATATCTGTAGGATCTAATTCTATTGCTTTATCATTAGACATACCTGATTTGTTATTTCTATAAGTAATATCTGTAGGATCTAATTCTATTGCTTTATCATAATGTTCAAGAGCTGTAGCAAAGTCTTTCTTTTTGTATGCTTCATTTCCTTTCTGTTTTTCTTCTTGGGCCTTCAACAAATAAAACTCGTTAAAAATACGTTATATTTTTTTTTTAAATCTCTAAATTAAAATATCAAAATTAATCAAATTCCGTATACATGACATATCTGAATAAAAATATTGAATTTTCCTAGAATTTATAAGCAATATCTTTTAAATAAATAAACCCCCAACTGGAAACTTGAAAAAGGATAACAGCCTTTTCTTTAAAGCTACACAAACAAGAATATACTGTAAAATGTTGGACTAAGATTATATATTCTTAATGCACATTCCCAGAGATTGCTCTGCAACCGTAAAAAGTTTCATCAATATCCGTCTAATCATTTAACTAGTTGTTTTCCAAAAAAAGGACACATTGACAGACATTTAGAGATTTCTATTTATTCCTAAACACTTTGTAAAAAAATCAAATATAAAATTTTATATTTTGCAATTACTTCCACAAAGCAAATATTGTGTAAATTAAAATAAAATGCTCCGCTGGGGCACAGCTTGATATGACCGCAGAGGTCGAACCCTGAACAGTTGGGGCAAGTATGGACACAACATTCAAGCTTGATACAGCTCTGAATTTGGATTGTGATTAAATATTTGACACAGCATAGGTTTCTGACACAGAATGAATGTGGTCTAAGAAAATTTTAATTTACCTTTTGAAACCATATCATTATTATTTGCTTTTATATGTAAATCAGAAATAACCAATTTAAAATGGAAAATTTTAAAGAAAAAAAAAGGAAAAAGAGAAGAAAAAATCCCCCCCCCAAATTTTTCCTAAAATTTTGAGGCAATTACCCCCAAAATCAATAACAGCCTTCCCTTAGTGGTATGGTACCTTGCAGTACAATTTCAGAGAGATCCATACACTTGAACACAAGTTATTGTCTGGAAACTAGAAAAATGCTTATTTTTGGCCCCTTTTTCCTAAACGTTTTGGGCAATTACCCCCAAACTCAATTCCAGCTTTCCCTTTGTGATATGGAACCTTGTAGTACAATTTCAGAAAGATCCATACACTTACAAACAAGTTATTGTCATGAAACTAGAAAAATGCTTGTTTTTTGCCCCTTTTTTGGCCCCTAATTCCTAAAATTTTGAGGCAATTAACCCCAAAATCAATCCCTGCATTCCCTTTGTGATATGGAACCTTGTGGTACAATGTCAGAGAGATCCATACACTAACACACAAGTTATGTCTGGAAGTTACAAAAATTCTTAATTTTGGCCCCTTTTTGGCCCCTAATTCCTTAACTGTTGGTACCATATCCCCCAAAACAATCCCAACCTTCCTTTTGTGGTAATGAACCTTATGGTAAAATTTCATAGAGATCCATTCACTTAAACTAAAGTTAGAGTGTGAAAACCAATGTGTCTTCGGACGACGACGACAACGACACCAACGTCATACCAATATACGTGTTTTGCGGTCGTATAAATATAGGTGAAACCTGAAAAATTTATTCCACATTCAAATTTATCTCAAACCCAATCAGTATACTGCTTAAATAATCGTAAAAAATAGAGTTACCACAAAAGTACCATGCATTTTTTTTTTAAATCCATCACTGTTTTCATTAATTACAGATTTATACATGTTTATGACTTTAGGTCTACCTGTGAATTAGGTTGGTTTTCAGGTTCAGGATTAGAATTATTTTGGGGTTTCGAATTTGAGCTTTGAGGAGGCATAGAAGTTTGATCTGGCGTTGCTTCTGTTTCTTTGTCTTCACTTGCATCAGCATTTTTTTGTTCTAAATCAAAGCCAAGTAAAACACCTAATGTCTGAATAATTCTAGGATCTTGAAAACTTCTGAAAAGAAATAAAATACATACATATAATAAACATTATTAATCTGTGGGTGCAATTTTTTGGTGTCATTTTTTATGCTGTAATTTTCAATAAACCATAAGAACAATGGCTTCCTAACTATCCTATAGCATGATTTATTTTGTATGCCACACACAGTCTGCACCAAAATCTTTTCCAGCTACCAGTCAGAAGACCAATATTCCACCATTTTTCTTACATGTCTAAACTAAGTTTTGCAAAAACTTACTAGGCCGAATTAAATTTCACTAGTCTGTTGCACTGGACTAGTGGCTAATGGTGCAGACTGCACACATTAGGGATTTGCAAAAAGGTCCTTTTGTCTAACTAGACATCATTGAGATGGGAGCCATCTCTGTGGGCCCCGCTGACCTTGAACTTTGACCTAGGAAGTTGTACAAACATTATGACACACCCTCTGGTATTGGTTAATATACATGTCAAGTATAAAGTATGAAATTAGAATGGTTCTCTAGATATAGAGCGGACACAATTTGTTACGGACAGACTGAACACTATAAGGCGACCTGCCACTAGGCAGGGCCTTAATAAGTCTCTTAACACCTTCTTACAGTTAGTACTGATTATCTCTCAATACATTTAGAAAATATGCACATCTACATAGTATGTCCTAATTATCTCTAAAGTTTCATGAAATTCTGTTGTGTGGTTTAAGAGGAGTGGCGATGACAAACTGTTGCAGTAGAATATTTAGGCCATTTTAGAAAAAAAATTGTGAGGGGGGTTGAAGGCATCTAATTTAAAATAGGGTAGTATTGTTTGAAACAAGTTTTCACACAATAGCTTTTGAAATTTCTAATAAAAGAACAGAGTTCCAATGTCCCCTGTGTTGCAAATATTTTATCTATCCAAGGTACAAGGGCAATAACTAAAAAAAGTAATTTTTTTTTGTTCTTTATATCTTAAAGAGAAATGAAGGCTTCAGAGCAAATGCAATGTGATTTCCATTATAATTATTATCTCCAAGGGGCATAACTTTTTTAAAATATTTGATCAGAACTTATTTTCGAAAGTGTCAAAGACATTGCTGATATAAACTTATGATAAAAGTTTCATAAAATTCGGGCAAGAATTGAACACATGAGAGCGATAACATTGCAATTTTCCATATAATCAATATTTTCACGTGGCATTACTCTTTTTAAAATAATTGATCGGCAATCATTTTCGAACTCGTTCAAGACATAGCTGATATAAACCTATGATATGAGTTTCATAAAAATCTGGCAAGAATAGAATACATGAGAGCGCTAACTATGCAATTTTCCATAAAATTAATGTTTCCAAGGGGCATAACTCTTTTAAAAATAAATGATCAGCACTGATTTTCAAACTTGTTCAAGAAATTACTGATATAAACCTATGATATAAGTTTCATAAAAATCTGGCAAGAATTGAACACATGAGAGCGCTAACTATGCAATTTTCCATAAAATTAATGTTTCCCAGGGGCATAACTCTTTTAAAAATAAATGATCGGAACTGATTTTCGAACTCATTCAAGACATTGCTGATATAAACCTATGATATAAGTTTCATAAAAATCTGGCAAGAATTGTACATTAGAGAGTGCTAACAAGACCGGACGGACGGTATTTCCATGTCCCCCATTACGCGTTATGCGGGGGACAATTAAAATTGTATGGGATGGGGCTTGAGAAAAAAGTGTCTTCCAACCCCTCTGAGGATACATTTAGTTTTGGAATAGCCCTTACTGTAAACTATTGGGATTCTGTTGAAGCAATTGTATCATCATTCTGTAATCTGGCTGTTTTAAATATTCTCTCGTCTTTGGATTGGCTTCTAATCTTTGCATTATATCTGGAAAGGCAAAAGGGTTGCCTAGAGGCTGACTACCTGATGGTCCTGTGAAATAAACAAGTGATAATATACAATACATATGGTGTAGCATTCTTCTTCTTTATTGGTTATAACGATCACATGATTCAAAGGGTATTCCATGTCTCTGAAGCTTTGTTTCTATTTTTAAGTATATGGATGCTATGTTTATATTTATATATATATATATATATATATATATATATATATATATTGACGGTCAATATTAAAAATCTTGCAAAATAAAATGTAAAATACACAGAAAGCACACTGAAGTCCATTTCCATAATACACTATTTACATATGTAATATATAAATTAAGGACTTTCACTCAGTCAATACATTATATAGAGACCTGTTAAGATTACAGTATATCAGGGTTTTTTTCACGTCAGCTTTTTTTCGCGATTTTCATGACAAAATGGGCAGGTTAAATTTTCACTGTTTATAATTTTCGCTGAATGGGAAAATACACGTGAAAATATAACTGTATCGCATTGTCAAAGATGTAAACAACACAAACTTGATTGAATGACAGATAATTGATCACAAATAAATACAAGTAATACAAAGGCAAATACACAATTTAGAGAACTTTTAAGGAACGTAAATTACACACTTTGGGGCATGCTAAAAATTGAAGGTTTTGATCATTACAGATATACCAATGTCCGTGTAAAAGTGATTTATTTTTATTCTTTTTTCACATTAAATGCCTATTGTTTGGGTTATGACACTAATCAATACAATAGGTCGTCAATAATTAACATATGATTGCTGTGTTGTCAAAAGGTGTGACACGTATGTTAAGCAAATTTAATTATTGTAAAAACAGATTTTAATTCAGTATGCTCATTCTTGTGAACTGTCGAACAACACAAAAGACTCAGTATTTGACAGTATAATGTATAAAACTTTCAAATTTTTATAAATCTTGGAATATGCAGGGAAATTTACGCAGGGTCAAATTTTCACTTTTCTTTAGTTACCGCGAAAAAAAAGCCAAAATTAAACACACGCGAAAAAAAACCGATATACAGTATACTGACCTTAGACTTCGTCCTCTGTCAATATAATCTGAACAGGTCCTTATATAACGTATAAACCTAATCAAGAGTCCATAATTGATAAATATTATATATAAGTGTTTTGATTCAGAAGGAAATGAATTTTGTTACCTCTTTTTCATAAAAGAAAAGATAGGACATTAGAATACCCAACTTCATTAAAAAAGACAAATATAATGAAACTTATAAATTATAAAAAGATATATTGGTTTCACAAAACTTTTTTAAATTCTTATTTCTATCTGTTATAGTTTTCTTTGAATTATGTATAATAATTTTAAACACTATTTAAAGGTTGATTCCAAAAATTATTTTATTTTAAGCAGAATACACAAATTTACCAGTTAATTTACTCTGTGCATCCTCCAAACCATTTTTTAGTTGTGCATTTTCAGGGTCAATCTTTAATCCTTCCATAAATACTGAAGCTGCTTCCTCATATCTGTTTAAATAACATAGGGCTGTGCCTTTCCTGGAGAAACCCTATATAAAAATTACTCCATTCTTACTAAACTTATTGAAGCACTATATAATTTGTGTCTCAAAATGCAAAATGCTACAAATTTGCATTTAGAAATTAGACAAGAACATTTTGTTCGACATGAATTGAATTTGAACCAAATCTTTTTTTTCCCTTAATTTACTAAAACGTCACATTATGATTTTGAGTAAAGGTTAGAAGTCACATTCAAATAGCTTCAAGATATCCAATCAAAACATAATCTATGGAATTTTTTAGTAAACATTGTGGTATGTAAGTCCTTTTGCAAGTAAAAGAACCAACATTCCAAGCCTAAAGCTATGATCTTGAGAAATTTGAAAGTTACTCGAGCCTTTTAACACCAACAACCCTGGAAATATTTGACTTGACGAATAAAGTAAAACAATAGAAAACTTACATGTAAGGCAGGTTCCAGCTTGCACTTTTGTACGGGGGGAAATTGTGAGAGGCACAGAAACAACTAATTAATGCATTACTGATTCAAATAAAGGAAAACATTTCATGGGGTATCAATTTTTTGTAAATCTTAATAAAAGAACAAAATTCATGATATGTTCTATGTAGACACTGACTTTCTCTAAAAAAAAGTTACGTTATTTGACACATCTGTGAGGCAACATATTCTCATTTCTACACATTTCTCATACAAAAATTAAACAGAAATTATTGTTCTTAAAACAATAAGAAGATGTGGTAAAAAAATGTATGATTGTCAATGAGACATTTCTCCATCAGAAACCAAATGTCTAGAAGTTTGCAACTTTAGGTCAGCTTACGGCCTTCAACAATGATGGCAAAGGTATAAAAGGCCCTGAAATGACATATAAGTAATACAAGAAAACAAGAAAACCAATGATCTGATTTATGCACAAAACACTTCAAGAAAAACAAATATGATATCCAGCAACAAACGACAATCACTGAATTACAGGCTCCTGACATGGGACAGGCACATATAGAATGGGATTTAACATGTTTGTGGGAGCCCAACCCTTTCCATAACCTCGGATAGTGGTGCTACAACCCATTATAAAAACAAATTATACTTATGACACAGACTGCGAGACATATCACTCACCTGTTGATAGAAATTTCAGAAAAAGACAATGATGGACAGCAACATTGCTAATTACTGTCAATTCAGAAATTATTGCTAGTTTTTTTTTAATGCAAATAATGCAACTGGGTGAGTATCTCTATAATAAGAAATTGCAATAATCAAGCTCACATTTTTGTCCTTTCTTCAAAAATTGCAATAATTTATGAATTTACAGTAATTCAAAGTTGCTGGACCATGACATAGAGGGCAGCGATTCAAATTGATCGTCAAACTGAGATGTAATGAAAGTAATGCAATATTATAGAAAATATTATTGTTTATAAAAAGTTGTTCCTATAAAACTAATTTAAGCAGAAAACTGAACATTGATAATTGGTAATTGATTGAAAGTCACTGAACCATAACCTCGTGGACAGGGCCTAAAATTATTCGCCAAACTGATATGTTCTGATAGTAATGCAGCTTTATAGAAAATATCTTTACTTTATCACAAGTAGTTCCTATCAAACTGATTTAAGCAGATAACTTAACATTTAATTCTTACCTTTGCCCAATCTGGTTTTATTTCTATTGTTTTGTCAGCATCCCCAAGTGCTTCAAGGTATCGTGCAGCTTTAGTGAGTGCTGCAGATCTGTTACTATATAATACATGGTTTTCAGGATCTAATGCTATGGCCTCTGTATACTTCCTTATTGCCTCCTCAAAGTCATCAGATTCTAATGCCTTATTTCCCTCAGATTTAAGGTCATTCACCTAAAATGTGTAGTGTGTTGTATCCTTTTCATTAATAAAACCGTTTGCCTTTTCTTATCAAATTATCATTTACTAATCTAGGCTAAACCAGCACCATGTTCAAATCTGTATTATCTCAAACATTTGAATATATAATATGAGTAAAAATAAATATTATGGAGCACGAAAATATACATTCATATAACCATTATACATGTTATACTATCTACAATGTACCAATCACTCACATTTTATAAAGCTTGAATAAACTTATACTTAATAGTAAATCTTACACAGCACAAAAACTATCTTCCTCTTTCATAACAAATTGTTTCAATGCGAGAAGCAATCTATTGCAATGGATTTTCATTATATATGTATTTTATATTCACATAATCATGATGTTTAAATCTTACTACCATGTTTATCCATTCGGTCATTACCATTTATTGTAAATGCGTTTGTGCCAATAAAATGTGGTATTGTATTGTATTAAAAATTTATATTTTCCATTTTTGATTTTATTGTCTAGTATTGATATGTCATAATGTGTTTCATTGTGAATACAAAGCGATAGTTTCTAGCTATGTGCCGGTTTTCCAGTTGGTGTAAAACACGTGCAGACAAATCCAACAGAATTCGAAGTGGTAAACCATACTCATGTAATAAAACCAGGTATCTCTTCACCCTAATCCTACCTTCTTCTGATTTTCGGATGACATAATCTGACAGCTTCAGTGTTTTCCTGTATTTTCTGTATTTTTGAGACCGAATTTTCTAGAGTCCTGTTCGTAATTTTTCGGAACTCATTTAGCATTATCCATTATTACTTTTCAACTGGTTCCCTGAAAAGGAAACTTTCATCGTCCAGATAAGTAGGAACAGAGACCAGGTTTTTTTTTACCTCCCTTTGATAATCCGGAACACTGTGGTTGTTTTCCTCAACAACACGAGTTACAGCTATCTGGTTTATTTAGTGCATAATATGCGCATTAAAATGTCCTATTTAAAAAAGAACAATCTATTGCGCATATTAAATACAAAATCAATCCAGATATTATAAATTAGCTGAATTTTTTTCATATACGTATACAATAGAGTAGATTTTTTTTCTTCAAATACATAGAAAAAGTAAAATAACAAAAACAGAAAGTCCTTTTAAAATAGCAAAATCAAAAGCCCAAACACATCAAAGAGGGTAGTAATGCCCTTTACCGTCAGGCGTCAAACGGTCATTTTCGGCTACCGTTAGCGTCAAATTGGTTAAAATCTAACCGTGATTTGTCAAAATATTTTTATCGTGATTCGTCACAGGTCTCAAATAATTATCGTTACCGTTATTTTTGGAAAAAAATTAACGTGATTCGTCAAAATCAGTCTATTTTTTTACCGTCTAAAAGAAAGTGTACATTTTATCGTCAGGCACAAAAAATTACCGTTAACGTCATTTGGCCAGATTTTTTAACGTTATTCGTCATGAAGGTACCCCCATTACGACCCTCATCAAACGAATAGAAAACAACTGTCATATTCCTGACTTGGTACAGACATTTCCTAATGTAGAAAATGGTGGATTAAACCTGGTTTTATAGCTAGACAAACCTAGCTCTCACTTGTATGACAGTCATATCTGAGAATTCCATTATACTGTGACGAAAAGTTGGGTATACAACTTGACTAAAAGGCGTATCCGTGTGTTTGTGCTGTGTTGTTGGGTGTAAAAGTTTCAGGTCGTTCTTTTCACTCGTACACGAACGACAAATGCCAAGTATACTCTTTAACAGGGTTACCCTAGAAATCTACTGGTAGCGTGATTAAGGGAATCCTGGCAGTCACATAAATAAATAAATAGGTCCTTGTGTAGTCTGAACGAAGTCTGGTAAGTGAACATAAACACGAAGTCGAATAAAAGTTCAATACTGTATTATCAAAATCACACGACTATAACAAAGTTACAAGTATAACAAAATGTACATCTAACTTCAGGCTCAACAATACGGTTCTCCTCTCTACTATAAACGTAACTGTCCTCTCCCCACTATAAATTCTCTCTCTCCTCTACAATCTCACGCTCTTTCTCTCTTTTATCACTCCTACAAGCCGGGATACAAATATAGACTACTAGGCATAGCAACCTGGCTCCATGTATTCCGTGCTCCGGAAATCCGGGTGCTCCGATAATCCGGGTGCTCCGGTAATCCGGGCTGCTAGTGTTCCGTGCTCCTTACATAAATTTACTAGGGCACCATATGCAAATCATTAGGGCTCACTAGTCAAACAAAGAAATCTAAATATAACTCTTAATTAATATCTCTGATGATCTCTAACTGTATTAAATAGCTATTTGTGAAAATACAATTGTATGTAAACCTAATACAATTACATAACACACTTGACCTAACATATAAAAATGTTACAATATTAACAACAATGTGTGAGCAAAACAAACAAGACATAATAGGTAAAAATGTCAAAAAGAAAAGATACTGGTAGTGTTATAAATTCACGGTGCAGAATGGTAAATAATGGATTTTTCTTTTTTTTCTGCGTTTCCTACTAATTAAACTTGTCCAGCAACGGACTTTTCGTGATACAAAAATTGATCCCGTGTCAGAAAGTGGGCAGAGGACTGGAGCGAACTATAATTATGTTCACGGAATATCCCGATTTTATTTATTTGTATTCATCACATGTCTGATCATCATATGGTCTTCAATTATACCCTATGGGTAGTGCTCCACAATTAATGGAAGAATATACAAGAAACTGAACTGAACTTCAAATAACTTCGCAAACGCAAGAAAAGATCGAAAGAGGAATCAGTCCGAGGTAATCATGTTAGTCAAGAAATTTGTTGATTTTTGTTATTGATTGACTTAATTTTCTTTGAAAATAAACGTTATTCAGAACTGACATAGCAAAAAACTGGGACTTTAATACTAGCATAATAATCCAGCAACAACATATAGATCAAATTTAGGGGGGCTGTTTTTGGGCTATTTCAATGCGTTGTTAACTGTTATTTGAAATATATATAAACCGTTAACTGTTTTCAACCCACTGTCTGTTATCTGTTCTGTTAAAATTGGCAATGTTGTTAACTGTTTTTCATGGAAATGGGATTCCTGTTATCTGTTACTCGACACTTAAAGTGTTCACTGTTTTTGACATAATATATCTCTGTTAACCGTTATTTACAAGAATTTTCAAGATTCACACTAATCACATAAAATTTGCTGTTGATCTCTTTCTTTACGGTGCTTCCTCAAAGGAGTAACATAAACAGCATATATGTAAAATAGGTCTCGTAGAAAAATTAGAAAATCTTGAAAATTCCTTCCCAGCCAGAACGGCAAAAAACTTATGTGTCAGGTACATAGCGGAGATCATCGAGTTGACGGCCGTCCGTACCCACCCTGGTTGCGCCGTATTTATGAAATCTTGGAATCCCCAGGCGTCAAGTGCAACTTCATATCATGGGAGCAGTGAAGACCCGATCATCACTGCTGGGATAGTAAAGGAGGGTAGTAGAATGCGGGCCTGTTGCTACCTGTCCAATCTCCCATGAAAAGTCAGTTGGTAAAGCGACATAGTGGCTGCACAACCCTACGCCGCCGGCTACGGTCAGCCAAGACAGTCCGGGTACAAAGCATTGGTCCAGAGACGCAGGCAAAAATCAGTCGCACGGTACTAGCGTTGGTATCATCGCAACTGACACGCCTCTCAAAGGTCTCCCCGATACCGATACGGGACAAACCATAGAAAAAAAAACGGTTGCGGGTACTTATCTGGTTGATCCTGCCAGTAGTCATATATATGCTTATCTCAAAGATTAAGCTATGCATGTCTAAGTACATACTTTTACATAGTGAAACCGCGAATGGCTCATTAAATCAGTTATGGTTCCTTTGATCGTACAATCCTACTTGGATAACTGTGGTAACTCTAGAGATAATACATGAAGCATGGCTCTGACCTCGCGGAAAGAGCGCGTTTATTAGATCAAACCCAGTCAGGTTCGCAGGTGCCGGTCGGATTGGTGAGAATGGATAACTTTGTGCGACGTATCTTTCAAATGTCTGCCCTATCTACTTTCGATGGTTCGTGATATGCCTACCATGGTTGTAACTGATTCCGGAGATGGAGCAACGAGAAACGGCTACCACATCCATGGAAGGCAGCACTTGCGCAAATTACCCACTCCTGGCACCGTGAGGTAGTGATGAAAAATAACAAAACGGGACTCTTTCGATGCCCCGTAATTGGAATGAGTACACTTTAAACCATTAAACAAGGATCTATTGGAGGGCAAGTCTAGTGCCAGCAGCCGCGGTCACTTGAATTCCAGCTCCAATAGCGTATATTAAAGTTGTTGCAGTTTAAACAGCTAATTAATCGCCGATCCCCATTTACGTCGGCGCAACTTCTTAGAGGGACAAGTGGCGTTTAGCCACACAAGATTGAGCAATAGCAGGTCTGTGATATCCTCAGCTGTTCGGGCCCGCACGCACGCTACACTGAAGGAATCAGGGTGTCTCTGCCCTTACCTGGAAAGGTCGGGTAACCCGTTGAACCTCCTTCGTGCTAGGGATTGAAATGACGCGCAAACTTGAACGCCTAGAGGAAGTAAAAGTCGTAACAAGGTTTCCGTAAGTGAACCTGCGGAAGGATCATTACCGCTATAATAAAGCGCTAAAATTTCTTCTGTCTTCTGATGGTCATCGTAGAACATTTCCTTGAGGTGAAAATTTCTCCCCTCGATGAAATTCTTTATTCCCCTGGTGCATCGCAAAGACCCGTTTTCGCCCGCTAAAACATCTTGCGATGGTCCTCGTAGAAAAAATTCTCGGACGCGAAAATTTCTCCCCTCGATGAAATATTGTTTTCCCCCTGTGCGTCGTAAGACCCGCGGTCGAGCGCTAAAACATCTCGCGATGATCAAAACTGGAGTGAACTGAGATGCTTTGAAAGAGTGAGCATTTCCTGCTTTTTGCAAGACACCCGCCATTTTGTTTTGAAAATTCTTCAAATTCGGACAGAACAATCAAATACCTTAACATTGTTCGATTTTTCAATATGGTTGTAAAGTGTTATTGAAGTTTTTACACCACTGTTATCTGTCATTCAGTTAAAGTTGGTGTTAACTGTTATCAGCATTTTATATTTGTTGTTAACTGTTTTTGCCAAAATCGAGGTGTTGTTAACATGGTAACGGACCCCCTATTGCCCCCCCCCCCCCCCCCTCATTATACGTTATGGTTGTTAATTGGCGAAAAAATGGTTTTATTTAACATCATTGGCAAAGGATTTTTTGTGTTTAGACTCGGTGACACCTGGCACCGTACTGATTGGAACAGCTGATTTAGTAACGGACTAAGTGTGTTTATTTCAATAAGTATCAACTTACTTACAAGTTTGAAATGGCATAAAATTGATAAGCAATGTGAAGTTAGGTATAGACTGGCTTGGGGCCTCGGTGGCCGAGTGGTCTAAGTAGTAGAACTACTGTATCACTAGCCTGTCAGCACTAAGGTTGTGATTTCGAACACTGAAAACATAAATTAGTCAATTTGACCAATTTAATTGGTCATTTTGACTGTCCTCTAGATGACAATGCACTTTAATCATTTTGACTATGCTCTTTGTCGTTTGACTAGATGGGTAGTCACATTTGACTGAGTAGGGTGGTAATTATGACTATGTTTGGAAGTCAAAATGACCATATGTTATACTCGTTATGACGAATTGGATTGTTCAATTGACTATGCACATTTGTCAGTTTGACAATTGAATGCAGTCCATATGACTTATTGAAATAGTCGAAAGTGACCATGTTGTTTAGTCAACATGATTACTGTGAA